AGCAGACTGACCAGCCTCAGAGGGAAGGGGGTGGGGCAGGAAGAGACAAACCAAAGGACTTAATGCACATGTGCACAGCCCATGAGCACAGACAACAGCGCAGTGAGGGGGCGCCGCAGGGACGAGGCTGTCAATGGGGAAAAAGGAGGGACATCTGTAATACTTTCAACAATAAAGAAAAAACGTTTATAAAAAAACTGTTGCTTTCATTTAAGCTACTGAGAACTGTAAGGTCAAACCAAGGGCTTTGGGGGAACACATTCTTCTGGGTCTGCAGCTTGTTTCCTTCTCGATCCTGGGGGCTTGGGTACCAGTTCTGGAGCAATGATTTGATGCCAAAGATTTGAGGAAGATGGGCCCCTCCCCCGCCCTCTTTCCCCTCTCAGTGACTGAAGCCAGCTGTGAGCCTGTATACACGGTGTGAACCTCTGCAGCCCCGGCCTCAGTGAAGGAACACCTCTGGCTGGCATGTCAGTTCATCTCAAGGGCAGGGCGCCTCCTCCTGGCACCCTCCCTGGGAGGGCACAAGACCCCTCCCACCCGGTGTCTGGGCAGAGCTGTTCAATGACGTCCAAGTGGGGCCTCCGCTGGTGAGCGTTTGGTTAGCAGGACATCGCCATGGAAACAGGCCAGAGAAGCAGGCAGTGTTCACCTCACGAATGAAAACCGAGGTCAGTTAAGCGACATGTTCAAGGCTACCTGGGTCCAGGGTCCTCTGAGGGATGCCTACAGGCCTCCCCCAACTCTCAACCCCTTTGCTGAGCCTCCTCATTTAATTGCATTGAAATCTCCGAATGCCTCCCTGAGGTGCTGGCTCACAGATGACTGACAGCTGCAATCAGCCTATGACTGGGGCAAGTGCCCACCATTTGGAGCCCACCTGCCAGCTAGAGAGAGCCTGCCCATGGGCCTCCCGGCTCCTCTGACCAGGCTGTGTCCTGCTGCTGGACCAAGAAGAAGCTTTTCCAGCCGAAGGCTCAGCTGTTCTTGTCTATACCGGACCCACCCACAGGCTTGAAGCAAGTTCTGGCTGGAAACTCAAGATCCACATGTGAACGGCCAGCTTTCCCGGCCTTTCCTCCTGCTGACCACACTGACCAAGAGCCGACAGGGCAGCTGCCACCTAAGCACCTCCCGAGACCCTGTGCAAGTGCAGAGCCCTCGTCCGTGGGTCTGGTGGGGAACTGCTCCCCAGGGCAGGTGGAGCGAGGCTGCTGGGCCTGGACCACTGCGCCAAAGGCACGAGAGACGCGGGCATGGCACCCAGCCTGGGTGCTGAGCTCCCAGCCTTCCTCCCGCTCCAAGCCCTCAGCTTGCTGACAGCTGCCATCCCCACCCTGGAATTCTGCTCATCACCCCCCAGCACCTCGTCCCGCCTGGAGCCTGCCCCCAAGCCTCTTCTACCCCCACGGGACAAGGATGTCCACTGCCAGCAACCAGGAGTGACCTGCGACTCTTCTCCGACTGACATTCAGCTTAGGACATTGTCCTCTGAGAGAGAGTCAGTGCCTCTGGACACAGCTTGCTCGCTCTCAGCTTGCCGAGCGCGTATCTCTGACATTTTTTACTCTACCTGGAATTTATTACATTGAACATAGATAATACACTGATATACCAGTTCCTTTCTGCCTTTCAGACCAGTGGACCTCATCAACCTTCTGTCTGGAATAGTGTCCCTGCTTCCGTGGGACTCTGGGCACTTCTGTTGCTCACGTTCCATGAGGCTTGTTTCAGAACTCTGCCTGCAGGTCCGGCCCCGGCCAGCCTGGTGCTCCTCTCATGGGACAGTGATTCGGTGCCTCTTTGACTGTGTCCTGCACATACCAGGACATGTAGTGAAAGTAAATGAAAATAAAATTTGGGGCAGTGCAATTTGGCGATTTGTAGTAAAGTGTTTAGAGATATGTGCACTATAGGGCCTACTATTTGGAAAAAAGTGAATGGAGCCCTGGACAGTTTGGCTCAGCAGTTAGAGCACTGACCTGCGGTCCAGAGAGACCCAGGTTCGGTTCCCACTAAGGGCACGTACCTCGGTTGCAGTTTGTCCCCGGCCCTGGTTGGGTGGTGTGGGTGGCAGCCACTCGATGTGTCCCTTTCATGTCGATGTTTCTCTCTCTCTCTCTTCCTCTCTCTCCCTCCCACTCTACCTGAACAATAAAATAAAATAAGATAAAATAAAATATAAATAAAAAAGTGAATGGAAGGAACACAGTATTATATAAAACATCTGATAATGGAATAGTTGAAAATTATGCCTGTATTCATATATGCAGCTTTAAAAAACCACATTTTCTAAGAACACTTAAAGAAAATGTTCTTTATATAATAACATAAAATGAAATCAGCAGGCTGACAAACTGCATGATCACAATTGTGTAAAATGTATAAATACATATGCAGAAAAATAAAGACATAAAAATATACCAAAATGTTAATAAAACTTAATGCTGATAACTATGATTACAGGTGATTTTAACTTTTTCCCTGTCATTTATTTGTATTCTCTGCATCTGCTTTACAATAAATGAGCATTGGATGTATAATGAATGCGTAGTGGATATACAATGAGTGCACAGTGGATGCATAGTCAATGCGCAGTGGATGTATAGTCAATGCGCAGTGGATGCATAGTCAATGAGCAGTGGATGTATAGTCAATGCGCAGTGGATGTACAGTCAATGCGCAGTGGATGTACAGTCAATGCGCAGTGGATGTATAATCAGTGCGCAGTGGATGTATAGTCAGTGCGCAGTGGATGTGTAATGAGTGCACAGTGGATGTACAGTCAATGCGCAGTGGATGTACAGTCAATGCGCAGTGGATGTATAGTCAATGCGCAGTGGATGTACAGTCAATGCGCAGTGGATGTATAGTCAGTGCGCAGTGGATGTGTAATGAGTGCACAGTGGATGTACAGTCAATGCGCAGTGGATGTATAGTCAGTGCTCAGTGGATGTGTAATGAGTGCGCAGTGGATGTACAGTCAATGCGCAGTGGATGTACAGTCAATGCGCAGTGGATGTACAGTCAATGCGCAGTGGATGCATAGTCAATGCGCAGTGGATGTATAATCAGTGCGCAGTGGATGTACAGTCAATGCGCAGTGGATGTATAACGATGGATGTATAGTCAATGCGCAGTGGATGTATAATCAGTGCGCAGTGGATGTACAGTCAATGCGCAGTGGATGTATAGTCAATGCGCAGTGGATGTATAACGATGGATGTATAGTCAATGCGCAGTGGATGTATAACGATGGATGTATAGTCAATGCGCAGTGGATGTATAACGATGGATGTATAGTCAATGCGCAGTGGATGTATAGTCAGTGCACAGTGGATGTATAGTCAATGCGCAGTGGATGTATAACGATGGATGTATAGTCAATGCGCAGTGGATGTATAGTCAGTGCACAGTGGATGTATAGTCAATGCGCAGTGGATGTATAGTCAGCGCACAGTGGATGTATAGTCAATGCGCAGTGGATGTATAATGAGTGCACAGTGGATGTATAATCAGTGCACAGTGGATGTATAGTCAATGCGCAGTGGATGTATAACGATGGATGTATAGTCAATGCGCAGTGGATGCATAGTCAATGCGCAGTGGATGTATAGTCAGTGCTCAGTGGATGTATAGTCAATGCGCAGTGGATGTATAACGATGGATGTATAGTCAATGCGCAGTGGATGTATAGTCAGTGCACAGTGGATGTATAGTCAATGCGCAGTGGATGTATAATGAGTGCGCAGTGGATGTATAATGAGTGCACAGTGGATGTATAATCAATGCGCACAGTGGATGTATAATCAATGCGCAGTGGATGTATAATGAGTGCACAGTGGATGTATAGTCAATGCGCACAGTGGATGTATAATCAATGCGCAGTGGATGTATAATGAGTGCACAGTGGATGTATAGTCAATGCGCAGTGGATGTATACTCACAGCATGATCACTTTCAGGTCTGCGGTAATTTCCTCCAGATAATCACAGCCGATGCCATCTTCCTCCTAACACGCGCTTTTCTATCAGCCTGGGTAGGAGTCTTCCTTCTCGTCAGGTAGGCCTAGAAGGCCCTGATCCTCTCCTTATTCTTTTTATTTATTTTTTCTTTCTCTCATCCGTTTACTCGGACCCGTGCTGTCCCGCGCCTTAGGAGTTTGCCTCCTGCAGACCACCTGGCAGCTAGTACAGGCAGGTGTGGTTCCCGTATCAACCAAGACCGGCAAAAATCAGCCCAAAGCAGCTCCCTTCCCCGGCAGGGAGGTGGAAGAGGGGATGAGCTCGAGAGAGAAAGCGCGGGCAGAGGTGAGAATGAGGCGCTCCTAGGGGTGGGTGGAAGGCGATGCTTCCCGGGGCTCGGGATTGCGCACAGAAGCGCGCACCTTCCTCCAGCAGCAGCCCCGGGGGCGGGTCCTTGGGAGACGGGTCCTCAGCGGGCGGGGCGGGGCTTGGAGGAAGGTCCTCGGGGCACCCGGAGAGAGTTTAATTGGCGCGGGTGCTCGGGGGCAGGTCCTCGTGGGGCGGTCCTGGAGGCGCTGGGCGGGCCCTCGCGGGGCGGGTGCTCGGGATTTGGGGCCTGACAAGGGATCCTAGGGCTCGAGGGCGGGTCCTCGGGCGCAGGACCGGGATTGGGGGGCGGGTTCTCGGGGCGAGGGGCGGGCCTTCAGGGGGCGGGCCTTTGGGGGCGGGTTCTCGGTGGCAGGGCGGCTCCTGGGGGGGCGGTTCCTTAGGGCGCGGGGCGGGGATTGGCGGCGGGTGCTTGGGGGGCGGGTGCTCTGGGCGGCGCGCTCCGGCGTCCTCCGCTCCTCCCGCGCGCGGCCGCTGGAGTCCCCGAGGCGCGCGGCCAGCCCAGCTCGGGCCGCCGCAGTCCGAGCAGCCCCGCGGCCGGGGAGCGCGGGCCGGGACCGAGGCCGCGGCGGGGGAGCGCCGCCCCCAGCGTCTTTCTGGAGCCCCTGGAGCGGGGCGAGGGCTAAGACGGGGCTGAGTGGGGCCGGAACCATGAACCGGAGTTTCCACAAGTCTCAGACCCTGCGCTTCTACGACTGCAGCGCGGTGGAAGTCAAGAGCAAGGTGAGCCGGGGCTGGCGTTCTGCGCCCCCTCGAATGAATGGGTGCCCCGCAGGGCACTGGGCGGTGCGGGGGGCCCGCTCAGGCGACAGCTTTGGCGCGCGAGCGCCGTCTGTGATGTGTAGGGTCCCGCCGTCCTTCCCGCCCCGGCGCGGACACAAAGCCCGCAACCCGCGGGGTCCAGCTGGAGCTCCGGCGCTCGGAGGGCTGAGCCATCGACCGGTCGGCGCGGGCTCCGGACACTCCGCGGGAGCGGCTCTTTTGTTCCACGAACGGGAGGCGCCCGGCACGCCGCACGGTGGAGGGGCTTCGGGGGCCCGGGCCGGGGGAGGGCCCTACCGTGCTGCCTCCTTCCCCAGAGGAGATTCGGAACCGGCGACGGGGGACCACAGCCGGCCCCCGACCCCGGGACCGGACCCCAGCCTTCCGGCGCGCCCCCGGCCCAGCCTCCCAGGGCGCGCCGGGCCGGCGGCTTCTCCCGCTGCCCGCGCCCGGCCCGAGCGTGCCCGAACTTGCGGGCAGCAGTGCGCGTTGGGGCTACTGGCTGATAGGATCTGGCGCTTCTGCACTTTGCAGGGACGGCTCCTTCGCCCCAGACGCTTTTGTCTACGAAGGTCTCGGTGGGGGACCCCGCGGGCAGAGGCGGAGCTGCAGTTTTTCGGGTACTTGGAGAAGGGGGCCCCTTGGGCCTTTCGCCGACTGCTGCCTGGAAGCCAGCCCTCTCGCCCTTTCTCTCCGTGCCCCCTCCCCGCGGTCAAGCCGGGCGGAGCAGCCTGCGTGGTGGGAGGGGCGGGGCCGGAGGGTGGGCTCCGACCCCCACCTGCGTGCACCCTTGGGGTGCGGGGCGGGTGCACCCTGCCTGTTCTCTGGGGAGATGAGTCCAGCGGCCCTGAAGTGGGCTGCCCCTGCCTGCTGAGGGGACCCTCTGGCGGAGGGTTTCCAGGGTATCCGCAGAGGAAGGAGTGGAGGTTTGGACGTTGCAGCAAGTTGCAGGATTTCCTTGTCATCTTCGCTCTTACAGACTTCCCTGAACCCTCATTTACAATCATACCGCACTTATCCCCCAGGGCTGGTTGTTTTGCCCTCACCCCACTCATCGCTCTTTAGCCTGGCAGTGCCCCCCCCCCCCCCCAATCGAGTGTGCCCGCGGAGAAGAACCCGCAGGCGTGAGTGGGAGTTCCAAGTAGTTGTCTGTTTCTTTAGCTCAGCGGGAATGTGGCTCTTTTGAGCTCATTGTCCACTACAATAGCTGAGCAGCATAGTGTTTTATTTTCTGAATTTTTCATTTTGAGGTCATCATAGATTCACAGGCAGTTGTGGGATAAAATATGGAGACTCCTCGAAGGGGACACCTTGTAGCCAGTGTCACACCCAGGACCTCAGCAGACACTGGGCACGTGTGGAGGCCGTGTGAATGTCCTCCCACCACCAGCACTGCCCCAAGGCCCCTCCTGCTGCCCCTCACACGGCTACTTGCACTGACTGACAGGCCGGTCCTGGGCGGCACTAGCCACGGTCCCCAGGGTCAGTCCCATGGGCAGCATGAGGCTGCCTGGTGCAGGACTCCCAGGGGATCCCCCTGGAGGAAATGCCTCCCAGGGTCTTATCCAGCCGTCTGGGCTGCGGGCCCACGCGGGCTGCTGGGGCTGGAGAGGAAGGGCCTGCCTGGGCCTCTCCTTGGGCAATGGGGGCTGTGGGTGTGCTGGCCGCCCAGTGGGGTGCACCATACCTCCCTGATTCTGTGTTCAAGTTCAAATGCAGCGAATGCTTTCTGGAGGTGAGTGGTGGAGCCGGAGTTTTGGTTGAATTTGGGAGCCTCCCTGGAGGGGCCACAGCCCTGCGAGGCTGGCTGGTTCTACAGTCCCCACCCCTCTCAGACGATGGGCTCACCTTGCTGCTTGAACAGCGGCTCCACGTGGCTCTTCCCTGTGCACTCACTGACCCTCCCACTGACCCTCTCAGTGGGTGTTGACTCACACAGAGGCCCTCTCTGCAGGAGCCTCAACTTCTGCTCTCGAAACACAGGAGGCAGAACTTGATGTCAGTGATGTCTTTGTTTAACCTCAATGCTGCACCCTAACACCTGGTTTGTACGTGAGGGAGCTGGTGCCAGGGGAGGCGAGTCCAGATGGTTCTGACACCTACTACTCTGAGCTTTCAGGCAAGTCGTTTACTTTTTTGAGCCTCAGTTATTCATCTGTGAAATGGGCATGGTCCCTACTCTGTGACCTCCCCAGACCCAGTGAGGTGATGGGTGCGGAAGTGCTTTGAAAACCCACAGTCGTAAGAGTGAAGGCTGTATGTCAGGGTTCTGTTGCATGTCAAGATATTGGGCCTGAAAAGTGTCTCTGATATACTCAGAAGAGTTGAGATCAGCCATCTGTGACAGCTGGTCAAGTCCCAAAGCCTTGGGGACATTTTTTCTTGACTTGGTGGCTCCTCCATCGTGTAGCCTCTAAGGCTTCCGCAAACATTTCTGCCTCACTCCCTGTGTTTCTGCAGTTCTGGCTGTGGGGCCGCCGTCTTCCCACTTTCTTGGACTTCTGCCTCTCCTTTTCCCCCTAAGCCCTGCCGTGGGAAGGAGGGGCCCTGCAGGTGTTTGGGGGAGCAAGTCTTGGCCCACCAGAGAGTAGCCAAGAAAGCCAGTACTGGGAGGGGCTGCAGGGGGCAAAGCGATTGGAGACGACTTGCCACTTGAAGGGAAGATAGGCAGCGACAGCGTCTGCGAAGTCTCCGGTGCCAGCCCACCCGCCCCTGCAGGAGCCTGAGAAAGGGACATAGGTCCCGGCTCAGCTGCACCCGCACCCCGCCCTCTGGTCCTCTGGTCGGGTCCCGTTTTGGGTCTCACGCTGGTCTCATCCATGTTCCCGGGCTCCACCCAAAATGCCCTCTGAGTCTGCTCTACCCTGACGACCTTTACAAGCCCATCCCGGCCGGCAGGCTCCCTGTCCCCTGGCCCCCGTGTCCTGCTTCTCGTCACAGGGCCCTCGCCTCGGGCTGGCACAGGTTTCCATACAGTTTCTGCTGCTTTGTTTAAATAATACTGGAGACCTTTTTGGATTCTAAACAAATACATTGTCATTGTCGATTTAGATCTATCAGCCGGGGTGCAATTCTCCCGTCTAAGGTGAGCCACTGCTCAGGGTGCCTTGCGTCCTTCTGACCCTTTCCACGCGAAGTGTCGTTTGTGTTCGCGTCTCAGAACCGGCCGTTCTCACAGGTGTGTGATCCTGCAGCCTGCCTCCCCCTTCGGCCTCACCGTGTGCGAATGTTCTCCTGTCATAAATACTTTTAGAAAACATATTTTAAAAATGACTACAAAATATTCTAGCTGACGTGTAAGCCGTAACTAATTTAACCAGTGTCCTAGTCCCAGTTTTTCTCTAGGATAAACGACGCTGTGAATAACATCTTTATATTTAAATGTTTATATAAAGGTATCATATAAAGTGTACAGAGAATATGGATTCTGTTATCCGTGTAACTCTCAGTATTTCTTCAGGACAGACTCTGAGAAGTGACATTGCCGGTGAAGGCTTGGGACGCATACGGCTACATTTTCTTACAGAAAGTCTCTCCTAGGGGTTTACAGGCTTCAGAACTGTGTTTTCTTGTTCTCTCGCTACAGCAGCGAAACGCTGTCCCTTGGTCTTAGTGTTTGTCTGAGGTGTAAGAGGAACTGAGACGTATTGTATCTGCTGGATGTTCGCACATCTGCTCCTTCCCTGCGCCCCTTCCTTCTGTGACTGCCCTCGTCCCCCTGCTGTGCAGCTGCCGGCTCAGTCCCCGAAGGGGCTGGGGACAGTGCTGCAATCCTCGTGTCCCCTGTCCCCGCGTCTTGTCCCTGGCAAAGGGTCCTGACTGCTCGGCCTGCAGGGACACGCCCTTCGGTCTGCTGTGCGGGCTCAGGCTCCCCGAGGGTGCTGGGCCCTGGCCTTCCGAGGGCCCGCTGAGAGCCGCCCGATGTGGTTTGACTCACCTGTGTGTCAGCTACACCCTGTGAGGTTCCGGTTTTGCTGTATCTGAGCATGCCACGTTCAACAGGTTTGGGGACTTGATGTGGGAGGTTCTCCTCGGGACCCAGGTACAGATGTCGGCTTTGCGCACGGATGCTGTCCATGACAAGCCTGCGAGCAGTAGGGAGCCTTATGAACTTTCCTGGGGTTCACACACTTTCCTAGGACATGTGGCATCTCAGACAGAGGGTTCTCCCACTTGAGGGAAGGGAGGAGTGTCATGGGTCAGAACCTCTACTGTTTATGAATCAGTCAAAGGGGGAGGCATCCTGACCTCCCCCAATGGGCCTCCTGGGCTTTGAGAGACCAGCAAGGAAGGAGCCTGGGGTGACCACAGCAGAAGCCCCACGACACAGATGAGCCGGGGTCCTGAGGGTCCGGCGTCATACTTATTTAGCCGACCGTTGTCCTGCTGACTGGCTCCCCACACCCTGGCCCCAGATTTCCACCCTGCGTGGACCTGGAGCAGTGGCAGCCTCTCGTGGCCCAGGCTGGACACTGCCCTCGGCATAGGTTGTGATCACAAATATTTATTCAAATGTATTGACCACCCACCCAGTATAGATAGGTAGTTATGTGCCGGACACTTCAAAATACACAGTGATTATGAATCATAGTTTATTGATCCACATCACCGCCTTGCAGGGTGGGTTCTGGTCTCAGCCCCATTCTAACAGCACAGGTCCAGGGAGTCTCAGGAAGCTGCCCAAGGTCAGAGTCACGCACTTGACCAGCACTGTCTTGGCCCTGGGGGTGGAGGGCGGCGACCCCTCTGCCTCAGCCCTGAAATCCAGGGCCTGTGGCGCAGGTGCTCCTGCTCGCTCTGCGTAGGAGACAGGCCCCTCTGGCTGCGTGGACCTGGAGCCAGGGGGCGGGGGGCTGAGGTCTTGTGCGTTTGGGGAACAGAAGCTGCTCTTCCTGCATCTCAGCCTCAAGGGAAGTCTCTGCTCGGAGCTGCGAAGAGTCTGCTTCCACCAGCAATTCATT